AAAACTTTAATTTTGCTATTAAAGTCCAATCTCCAAGCGACGTGATAAATTTGTGTTACTTCCTGTACAAGTTTTGAATAAATCTTTTCTGTTTGTCCAAATTTCGAATCTCCCAAATCGCTTGGTAAAATAATTATACGTTCCTTAGATAATAAAGAATTTTCTAAATGACGTTGTTCAAATGAATTTTTCAATCGAGACCATCCATGATTTTCATCTGACGCTCTCACCAAACAATAAACTTTAAGCACATTTGTATTTTTTAACAAATCACGGAGGATAAAAGAGCCAAGGAATCCAGTAACTCCTGTTAGGAGGATCGTTTCACCACTTTTTTCATTCATGTTTCCATTAATTCCATTAACGTTTCCCACAGAAGGAAAGTTATCGATTTTATTATATTTTTGAATATATGAATTCACTTCATTTTTAAGAGCTTGTAATTTTGTTTCATAGCCATCTTCAACATTTTTATCTTGTGGAGTCCTGAAAGTTGATAATTCTTTTGTCAAATAATGTGTAAGACTTTGGACTGTATTATATTCGAAAATCACATCATGAGGAAGCTTGATAACCGAAAATTGTTTTTGAAGAATAGTTCGTAACTTAGTTGCGGATAAAGAGTCCAGACCAAGAGCAAAGAATGAGGTTTCGACTTCATTAGGAAATAAATCTCCAATGACTGAATTAAGTGAATTTAATATAATAGTTTTCACGGAATCTTCATTCCATTGATCATTAGAAAAGGATTCATCATTTAGTACAACTTTATGATTTATAAAATTATCATAAAGCATTTCGATTTCTTCTTTGAACTCTATTTCAACTTTTTTACGTTGAATACCATTTTTAAATGTTCGTGGTAAATTTTTTTCCTTCAAGAGGTAAGATATAAACCATTTCTTCAAAGATTCGTGAATGTGATGGACATTCTTTGTTAGCTTGATGTATTGAATCAAAAATACTTTTGGTGACTTCCAAGAAAGGAGTTCTTTTTAAATTTTCAGAATATGTTATAATTAGGTTCTATAGTAGCTACAAATAGTGCAAAAACCTCATATTTAGTAATTAAGCCGAGTTCTATCAAGAGACAATTGAATGGTCTATTATGTCCAACTACGGTTGCATGTTTAACGAATTCATTACGGCGAACTGTATCTTCAATCGGTATTGGATTTGTCTTTTCTCCAGTGGTATGAACATATGTATCATCAACTCGACCAAATAAAATATAATAGCCAGAACCTTTTGGAG